ACTGCCCCACTGGAGGGTGCCTTCTCGCTCCTCTCTCTCTCTCTTTCTGGTGAGGGGATATGCTCTCTGGCCATAATGAAAAGTGAATAATTGTGGTAAAATACACATAACATAAAAATTACCACCTTTTTCTTTTTCCTAATATTTTCCCCATAGGGCATGTACACTCACCACAGAGAGACAGGGAGCGAGAAATCAACCCTCAGGGGGTGTGGCCACATGCAGTCCCTTCTCCTTCATTCTCCTCTTGAGATTTTGGGCAAGCATGCTCACATACCCTTTGTGTTTTTCAAGCCACCAGGCCCGGGACTTGAACCACAGAGTCGGCTGTGTAGGAGTTCAGCGCCTTCACCACCATGCCACCTGCTGGCTCCATTGTAACCACTTGAAAGTGTACAATTCAGTAGTGCTAAGTGCATTTATGCTGTCGTACAATCCATCTCTAGAACGTTTTCATGTTGTAGAACTGAAGTTCCGACTGGCTTAGAGGCCTAACAGTAATGCACTGCCCAAGAAAAGCCAGTTCCCAGATGGCAACCACAGTTCACATCTCAGCCCAGGCAGCCCGGAACATGCCAGACATGCTTGTGAGTTCCAGGATGCTGCAGACGGGGCCTGGGGGAAGGAGGTCACGGTGTGACCATTCCCTGTGTACACCATCTCTCTCGCTATCACGTCTATGTGCACCTGTTCTACCGCGAGTAAAGAAAAGGAGAGGAGGAACAGACTCGGAAATTTTGTATGCATTGGGTACTAACTCGCATTCTTCTACGCCCAGCCCCTGGCAACCACCCTTTTTTTCTTTAAATTTGACTGCTCCAAATCCCTGTGTAGGTAAACCCTGTGGTGTTTGTCTCTTTGTGACGCACTTATTTCAGTTAGCAAAATGCCCTCAAGTTTCATCCGTGTTGTAGCCACATGTCAGAATTTCCTCCATCTTTCCCCTTCCTTTATGAATTCAAAGCTGTTCTTTCGAATAACACCTCTTGCTCCCTTGGAATGATCCAGTCCCCTCGAGTCCACAGGAAAAGAGACCAACCTTAACTTCCCCAGGAAGTGCTGAGCTTGGGAGTTTGTGTCACAGGGTTTCCCATTAAGCTCCGAGTGTCATCAGCTTGGCCGCCTTAATGGGCTTGGGTCCCTTGCTGGGATCACACAGGGGAGGTTGGGGGTTCCTTGGCTGGAGAAAGTCCTATCCCTGCCATGGCATCATTCCAGTGCCCTCGCATGCCCTCACACTGACCCCTACACAGTCCCTTAAGGAAGAACCTTTTCCCCATGTTAGTGGGCACAAGTCAGTTCTTCATCCCATGGGGCCAGCAGGTGACTTGGTGGTTAAGGTGCTGGACTCCCACATGGTTGACCACAGTTCGATTCTTGGACCTAGAGGCTTGCTTTCTCACTTTCCCTCTCTCTCTCTCTGTCTCTCTCTGATCAAATTAAAACAGTAATAACAACAACAAATTCTTTAAAAAAGTAACTTTCAAAAAATATTTCAGCCCATAAAATGATTGCTGTAAGTCTCAGGAAGAAACTCAGGTATCGGACCACAATTCAGATCTTTTCATAATGATCTTTCTGGGAGAAGCAATCCTTCTTGGGTAGAGGAGGTGAAACTGGACAAAGGGAAGCAATTTCTTTTTTTGATTATTTATTTATTTATTTATTTATTTATTTATTTATTTATTTGGAGAGGTTTTTGCTATAGGGCGCATGCACTCGCTGGAAAGACAGAGAGAGACAGAGAGACAGAAAGCAAGAAATTTCCTTCAGGGGGGATGGCCACGCCACAATCCCTTCTCCTCCATTCTCCTCTCAGGATCTTGGGCACACACGCACATGCGCCCGGCGTGAGTTTAAGCCACCGGGTCCTGCACTCGAACCGCGGTGGGCTACGTGGGAGTTCAGTGACATAGCCATTATGCTAACTGCTGGTCCCAAGGGAAGCAATTTCATTGGCAACCTTCTCAGAACCAGAGAAGGCTGCTCAATAATTGAGGGGAAAAAATGCATGCACAATACATGCGTACATATGTGTGCATGTGTTGTGCCCAGCACTATTCTAAGAGCTTCTCAACACCAAGTCATTTAATTCTCAGAATTTTCAGAGATAGGAGCGGGGACTAGCAGATGGATAATGGTTACATTGCTGGACTTCCACGTAGCCACCATGGTTCTAGTCCTGGACCTGATGGCTTAAAAAACTCATACCGAGCACGTGTGTGTGGGTGCCCAAAATCCTGAGAGGAGAATGGAGGAGAAAGGGATTGCGACATGGCCATCAATCCTGGGGGGTGATTTCTCATGTTCTCTCTCTCTCTCTGTCTCTCTGGTGAGCACATATGTGCTCCTATAACAAAAACAAACAAACAAGAAACAAACCAAAAACCTCTCTGGAAAAAAAAAGATCAGATCTGTCTTTACCCCATCCTGACCCCCATTTAACAACCAGCAGCATCAGGCACTGGGGCCTTCCCCAGAGCACAGGGCTAGCAGGCAGCCATGCCTGGTTTCACACTGAGCAGTTGACTGCATGGTCTACTCGGCCATTACAGGCTACTGCTTCCAAGGCCTTGAAATACTCTGCCCTGTTCCATTAGCTTTCTTTTTCTTCCTTAACCCGCTTCTCTCTAGGAAAAAGCAAAAGCAAGTAACCTGTTAAATCTCACCAGCGAACGAATCATCTTGCAAACAGTTGCAGCTTCCAGAAAGCAGCTGCACCCTAAGTCCTGTTTAGTTCTGGCTCTTTGGAGGAAACAGGTGGTCGGAGTCTTGTGGGTGGATACAGAGGTGCCGTATTCTGAGCAAACAGGAACGTGAAACTCCACGCACAAAACAAACACAGCCAGAGGGTGGTGGTTTACATTATGAAAGTTTTCTCTGATGTTGAAAAGCATCAGGGTAGAGTTTCAATAAAGAGCAGCTTGTGTGTTTGGCTAGACGGTTGGGGTGGGAAACCCCTAGAATTGAAATGTTCCGAGCTCAGTTTAACCCTTTGAAGATGATTGCTAAAATGATTGTGTAATCGGTGAGAAAAGAAAATCTTGGGAGCAGCAGCTGGTATCATGGTTAAGGCATTGACTCCCAAGAAGTTGACTGTGGTTCGAGTCCTGGACCTGCCGGCTGAAACTCAAGTCAGGTGCATGTGCATGCATGCCAAAGATAATAAGAGGAGAATGGAGGAGAAGGGATTGCCTCATGGCCATCCCCCCCGGGGGTGGTTTCTCACTTTCTGTCTCTATGTCTCTCCAGCGAGTACACGTGTCCCATTGCAAAAATCTCTCTCTCAAAAACAAACAAACAAACAAACAAAAAACAGAAAAATATTGTTGACTCCCTCCTCCCAAATCATCTTTAAAAATGACAGTTAGAGGGGTTGGCAGGTGGCGTGGTGGTTGGAGGCGCTGGATTCCCACATGGTCGACTGCAGTTCGAGTCCCAGACCTGGCAGCTTTCTCTCTCTCTCTTTCTCTCTCATTCTATCCCTTTCTGGTCAAACTGAAATGAACAAATGAATAAATGAATTAAATAGAGTTAAAAAAAGAATGATTTAAAATAAAAACATGACTCTTAGAGGAACACGTCTTCAGTGCAAAGCGGTTGCCTATGGGACAGTCTGGCATTGCGACTCACGTAGAATTACAGTCTGCAGACGGTGTAGCTGTCAGCATTTCCCTGGCTCAGGAGATGAAGGAAGTCTGCTTCAGACAGGCAGCCAGACCCATAACTTCTCATTTACAAGCAGTGCAGGCATGGTCTTATGTATCTGGTTTGTTAAAAGAAAAAAACAAAAACAAAAACTGGCTTCTCCATAACAGAAAAGGTTGTTGAAGGCTCTAGAAAAAACCACATGGGCCAGCAGGTAACACGGAGGATAAGGCACTGGCTCCCACATGGCCAACTCCATGGTTAGGGTCCCAGACCTGGCGGTATGAAAAACATGCCGGGCGCATGTGCGTGTGCCCAAACTCCCGAGAAGAGAATGGAAGAGAAGCGATTGCAGCATGGCCATCCCCTCCCCCACCCCCAGGGTGATTTCTTACTTTCTTTGTCTCTCTGTCTCTTTGCAGTGAGCAACGTGCTCTATAGCAAAAAAAAAAAAAAAAAAAAAAAAAAATCTAAAAAAAAACCCCTGGTTTTCGTCATTTACAAAAAAAAAAAAAAAATCTAAAAAAAGCCCCATGGTTTTGGTCATATTAGCAGTCACTTACATACAACATTGCTTTTTAAAACAGTAATTAAATTTAACCATAAAAAAAATGTAGCTCTTGGGACCAGCAGTTAGCATAATCGCTATGTTGCTGGACTCCCATGGAGTCGACTGCAGTTCGCGTCCTGGACCCGGTGGCTTAAAACTCACGCCGGGTGCGTGTGCGTGCGGGCCCAAGATCCCGAGAGGAGAATGGAGGAGAAGGGATTGCGGCGTGGCCATCCCCCCTGGGGGGTGATTTCTCACTTTCTGTCTCTCTGTCTCTCTCTGTCTGGCGAGCGCACACACCCTATAGCAAAAAAAACTCTCAAAAAAAAATGTAGTTCTTTCAGGAGAAAAGTGTGGTAGAAAGCCTGATCTGAACTTTGATGTTTTACAAGAAAATCTCTTTTCTGAGTTGTTCCAGTGTTATTTTATTTCCATCTGTCAACCTAGATTCTAAGCAACGTGAAGGCAGAGGTCACATTATTCATCCGTTCCCAGCACAACGTCTCAGAAACACTTGCCGTTGTTGAACTCATGACTAAGTAAATGAAGTCTTGATTAAGGAACCAATTTACCTTTAGATCTTTTAAAATGAAAATATCTCTGTAATCAGCTCAGTACTTGGCATGCTGACCCAAGATAGGGGCAAGGAACATCTCTTATTCCACTGTTACACGTGGCACATACTGGTGGAACAAGATGGGACAGGGTGTGTGGCATCCGCCATGAAAATGTGACAGCTCTTGGCGTCGGTCATGTCCAAACCCATGGTGTCTGGCTCTCAACCTCCGTCCCAAAGGCTACCTCAAGTTTTATACCTCCTGGTCCGCATTTCCACCATGCAGGATTTCTTTCCCCATTGCTCTGCGTGCTGGGTTCTGTGGGACCATCCTCCAGGGACAGGAGGTTGGGGGTTGTCGCGGCGGGCACTGGCTGGCTCTTTCCTCCTCTGTAGTTCGTCTCGCCGTCTTGCCTGCCGTTCACTCACGCAGTCTCTGGAGGCCCGCACCTGTGGCCAGCACCGCTGCCCGTCTTGGTGCATTGCAAAGTGGGAGACAGCACAGCCGGAGCGGGAGATGAGCTGGGCCAGCAGGCCCTCTTCCTCATCTTCCTTCTTCACCTGTCGGGCCCATGGATGGCCCTGAGGGGCTGAGGCTGACATCCTGGGGGAGGTGGGAGAAGGACTTGAACGCGCATTCCTGTGCGACAGTGCGGGTCTCGCAGGCTCTTCTGTCAATGCCTCTCACAAGGAACTCTTCTTCTTTTTTTTTTTTTTTTGGAGAGGTTTTCGCTATAGGGCGCGTGCACTCGCCAGACAGACAGAGACATAGAGACAGAAAGCGAGAAATCACCCCCCAGGGGGGATGGCCACGCCGCAATCCCTTCTCCTCCATTCTCCTCTCGGGATCTTGGGCACGCACGCACACGCGCCCGGCGTGAGTTTTAAGCCACAGGGCCCAGGACTTTAACCGCGGTCGACTACATGGGAGTCCAGCGACATAGCCATTATGCTAACTGCTGGTTCCCAAGGAACTCTTAATATTCCAAAGGAAGCCCTCACAAGGTCATCTGCCAAATCTTTGGCAGCTACACACTTGGTGAAATTTTTACAGACTGGCAGATGACACAATTCTGGTAGGTTTCTTTTAACTGTAAGGACAAAATTCAATTTCTCCAGCAGGTTAACTAGATTTGTGTCAGTCTTGACATACTTAGCACGAGACGACAATTAATTCCTGTCACCAGAGGGCACCAAAGCTCAAGTTGCTCAGATAAGTGTAGCCCACCCGGTTACGGCATCAGGGCCTGGAAGCCCCACGCGAGGTCATCCCTGTGGTCAGCAGACGAGACCTCACCTAATGACTCCAGAGGACCAGGGCTGTCCCCTCTCAGGAAGAACTCCCTCGCTTCCTTTCGTAGCTGTCTACAGTGTCACAGCTGTCCTAGCCGTGACACTCTCAATACCAGTGTTACATTCCTCTGTCTATTTATTGATCACCTACTATGTCGCACCAGGCCCGAGGAAGCAATGGTGGGCAAAAGAGGCAAAGAGTCTGCTGCGACCTTGCAGTCTAAGAGGGAAAAACCCACTTTAAACAAACCCTTACCATGGATGGCGATGTGGGCTATGGAAGGCGGTGCCAGGGTGGCAGGAGTGGCTAGCAGGTCACCTGAGCTTATCCCCGAGGTCATGGCGTGCATTAGTTTCCTGTGCCTCTGTAACAAATGATTCATACTGGCATTAACACCAGCACATGGTGTGGAGGTTAAGGTGCTGGACCCCACATGGCCAACTGTGCAGTTCGAGTCCCAGACTTGGCGGCTTGAACATCATGCCAGGCATGTGTGTGTGGTGTGCATGCCCAAAATCACAAGAGGAGAACTGGGGAGAGGGGACTGTGGCATGCCATCCCTTGGGGGATGATTTCTCACTGTCTCCAGGGAGCATATGAATCCTATTGCACAAACTAACAAGCAAAAAAAAAGTACCAAGTTATTTTCTTACAGTTCTGAAGGCCAGAAGTCTAAAACAAGGTCTCGGCAGGACCGTGGAAGGCTCTAGCAGTGAGTCTCCTTTTTCTTTTTCTTTCTTTTCAACTTTTCCATATGGAGAGAGAGAGAGAGAGGAAGAAAAAGAGAAAGAGAAAGAGAGAAAATGACAAATCGCTCTCCAGGAGGGAATGGCCATACTGCAGTCCCTTCTCCTCCATTCTCCTCTTAGATTTCAGGAACACACACACTTGTCCGGCATTTTTTTTTTTCCTCCAAGCCACTGGGTCTGGAACTCAAACCCACAGCCAGTCATGTGGAATTCAGCCTCCTCAACTTCCATACCACCCAGCTGGCCTGAGTCTCCTCTTCAGGTGGCTCCAGGCATGCCATGGCTCATGGCCTCCTCCTCTCTCCATGTCTGCATGAGGACACCGCGATTGCCCTGAGGGCCTGTTATGGACTGAATGTGTCTCCCTAACTCGCACATGCTGAAGCCTCACCCCTCCATGGGACTGTATTGGAGACAAGGCCTTCAGCAGGTGACGAAGGTTCAGCTCGGTCGTACGGGGCTGGTGCACTTAGAACAGAAGAGCTGCAGGAGACTGCCTTCTCTCTCCCTGCTCGGCACCGAGGAAGGGCCACGTAAGGACACAGAGAAAAGGCAGCGGCTGGCAAGCTAGGAAGAGCAGCCTGACATAAAACTACCCCCGATGGCACCTTGACGTTAGACTCCCAGGCCCCAGAAATGTAGGAAAGGGATTTCTGTGGTGTGAGCTGCCCCGTCTGGGTGGGAGCAGCCCGAACAGAATCATAGGGGGCCCACCGCATGCTTCAGAGCAGTGTCTGCTCCTGAGATCTCATACTTAATCACATCTTGTGCTCTGTCAGTGACATTCACAGGTTCCAGGATTAGGGCATGCTGTGGAATTTGCAGGGAAGGGGAGGAGGGTGGAGGAGCATCGCAGAGGAGCATTGTTCAACTCTCTATAGAGGGTTTCTTCTTTTTTTTTTTTCTTTTTAAAGAGAGATTTTTGCTGTAGGGCGTGTGTGCCTACTGGGGAGACAGAGACAGAAAGCGAGAAATCACCCCCTCAGGGAGGATGGCCATGCCACAATCCCTTCTCCTTCAGTCTCCTCTTGGTATTTATTTATTTGAGAGTTTTTTTTTTTTTTTGCTATAGGGTACATGCATTCACCAGAGAGATAGAAAGTGAGAAATCACCCCCCAGGGGGGATAGACACGCCGCACTCTCTTCTCCTCCGTTCTCCTCTTGGGATCTTGGGCATGCATGCACATGCGCCCGGCATGAGTTTAAGCCACCGGATCCAGGACTTGAACCCTAGTTGACTACATGGGAGTTCAGCGACATAGCCATTATGCTAACTGCTGGTCCCCTGGCTCTTACTTTTAAGGTAGGAAAAAATAAACATATTTTCTTGCTAACAGACAGCATCTACAGCACAGGAGAGATGGAAGGGAACAAGAGGGACGATCCCTCCCTAAGGAGAGAGAGGACTTGGAAGGGGAAGGTGGACGCAGGGAGGGGTGTGGACTTGGTGTCAAATGTGGCAAGAATTCTCATCTGGGAGAAGGGGGGTATGGACACCCGCTGAGGGGGAAGAGGAGGGGGAGGGGGAGGTGGCAGAATTGCAGGGGGAGGTTTGAAACAGGGCTCGGGAGAGAGCTGACTCAAGACGGTAAGGGCCAAGGTCTGAGATGCCATCTGAGAAAGAAGTGAGTGAGCTAGCTGGAAGGGTAAGGAGTTACAGGATTGTTTTCCTTTCTTCCTTTTTTTCTTATTTTTAATTGCCAGAGGATATATGTGTTCCCCAGAGAGAGACAGAGGGGGAGAAGGCACCCCCCCCATGGGGTATGATCAATCAAAGGTTGCAATCCTTTTCCTCCATTTCTCTGTCCTGTCAGGATGTGAGGAATGTGCACACATGCACCTGGCATGTGCTTCAAGCCCTTGAGTGTCGTAGTCGAACTGTGCAGCCAGCCTTGTGGAGTCTGGCTCCCTTAACCACTAGTCCATGGGCTGGCCCTGCAGTGTTTTTTTTTTTTTTTTTTTTTTTTTTTTAAATTTTTGAATGATTCATTCAATTTTATTTATTATTTAAAAATTTACTATATGGCACATGTGGTCCCAGAGAGAGAGAGAGAGAGAGAGAGAAGAAAAGAAGCGACCAGGTCTGGGACTTGAACTGCGGTCAGCCATGTGGGAGTCCAGCACTCTAACCACCATGCCACTCGCTGGCCCCTGGAGTGGGGTTTTGAGGCAAGTGGAGGAGCCCGGGTCCCAGGAGTCTGACCATGGCAATGGTGCGCCTCTGACGGACAAAGTCTACAAACCAGTCTAGGGATCGGCTTTTCCAGCTGTGGTAAAGCCTGATGCATCAGGAGCCGTCGCAGAAATAATGACCCACCAAGTGATCCAATCAGCTGTGCAATAAATGAATGTAACTGCAGCAAGGAAAAAAATACCTGTAAAATAGCCAACAGGATTGTTTTTATGAAGACATTCCTGATTAAGTGCCAGTGGTGTCCCTGCAAAGCCACACACAGCTTTGACCTTATCGGCTGGTCCTCAGTGGCCATTCCTTGACTCCCCGCGTATGCGTAATCCAGAGTTAGCTGAGTCTCTCTGTGCAATGCCTTAGTTAAGTCTCACAATTCGTCTCTGTCTTTGTGGGAATGGAAAAGAGCTGACTGCCACCCTCTTCCTACCCGCTTTTGATATCCTTATTGAAGACACGATTCATTTCACATACCCTGCCTTCTTTTTTCTCTAAGCCAAATACTTCTGCTATCTCCTTCACAGAATATGTATTTCTCTATGCCTTGATAATTTTATGTAAGCCTAAAAATCTCCTTGTTAAAATGCAAGAGATTTGAAAGAGCCATGTATTAAGAATGTTTAAAGTCCTTAAATACTGGAGATTTTATGTCTAGGAAAATTTCTACTTACAGAAGATTTTTTCTTAAAGAGATTTTTGCTATAGGGAGTACACGCTTACTGGAGAGACAGAAAGAAAGTGAGAAATCACCTCCTGGGGGGATGGCCATGCCGTGATCCCTTCTCTGCCATTCTCCTCTTGGGGTTTTAGGTACACACACACAGGTGTCTGGTGTGAATTTCAAGCCTCCATTCCAGGACTCGAACTGCGGTTGACCATGTGGGAATCCAGCACTTGAACCACTACGCCACCTGCTGGCCCTGGGATTTTCTTTATATACGTATAGATATAGTTCATCTCTTTCTCTGATCCTCAGTAGACTGAACGAGTTTCTTTTTACAAACATCTCTATTAGCATATTGCAGCCGTCAGGGGTACAATATACCATGAGGTGAGAACTCACAGTAGGCCAGGCCTTGGGATAAGCAGCTTTTTATGTTTCTTTCTTTTTTTTTTTTTTTAAGGTTTTTGCCAGAGAGCACATGTGCTCGGAGAGAGACAGAGAGAGACAGTGAGAGGGAAAGTGAGAAATCACCCTGTAGAGGGACCAGCAGTTAGCGTAATGGCTATGTCGCTGGACTCCCACATAGTCGACTGCAGTTCAAGTCCCAGACCCGGTGGCTTAAACTCACACTGGGCGCGTGTGCGTGAGTGCCCAAGATCCCGAGAGGAGAATGGAGGAGAAGGGATTGCAGTGTGGCCATCCCCCCT